GTTCCAAGGATGGAGTATAATCATATCATGTGAAGCCCTGCAGATATAACAGATAGACAGACTGGAGTATTCTGAATAGCTCGCAAATCTCTTGTAGGTTTGTCCTTCGTGGCATGAAAAATGTTAGTTTTCTGATGTTTACACTCTGTTGTGATTTCACACTGAGTTAAGTCTGTCGTTTTGTCACAGTTTGTGATGGCAGTTGTACAAAGTTGATTTTACGCAGTAGCACATGGTCTCGTCATTCTTGTATTCATGTATTATATTCCTAGCTGCACTGGTGTTTATATGCAGATATTGTTATTCGTGTCATATCAGTGTCATCTTTTATAAAGAACTCGTTTAACATTTGTACTTAGAATACAATATTTGGTAACACTTAATATTAAGCCTATCTCTATAACGCATTATAAATATATTTATAATGCGTTATAATCACGTTATAGCACTGTATAACCATAGTTATAAACACTCATAAATGATCATAATGCTTTATAGTAATAATCATCACAAATTATAAAGCATTTTATCACGACTTACAAGGTCAGGTATAATAATGTGTTATGCTTATTATCATAAAGCCTTATGATTATTAATGAGTGTTTATAATGATAGTTATACAAGTTTATAAGCAAATTATAACACATCATAGATACATGTTTAATGTATTATCTATGTGGGCACTGTTAGTGATTTGTTAACAGTTATAACACATTATAATACCTGACCTTGTAAGTCATGATAAAATGCTTTATAATGTGTTATGATTATTGCTACAAAGCATTATGATAATTTATGAGTGTTGATTACTATAGTTATACAGTGCTATAACATGATTTTAACCCATTATACATATATTTATAATTCATTATAGAGATAGGCGTCAAATAAAGTGTTACCCAATCGTTACTCTGCTGCTGATAAATGCAGCTCTGGGAGCGAGACAAATTAAGATGCACATTTTAACGGTATTAGGTTAAGATTTGTGCTTAAAATGTAGGGGGCAAGGGGGCACGCAGATGGTCGAGCGGGTTAGTATGCCCCATACATGGGTCCCCACAGCGGTCGCGGGTTCGAGTCCAGCCCTGACCATGTCCTGCATGTCCTCCCTCCTCTCTCTGTCTCCCCACATTTCACCCTGTCCTGTCAATAAAGTCTAAAATCACCTCAGAAAAAATACTTTAAAAAAATGTTGGGAGCAATGATCCACCAAATGTTTAAGCTTCATGTGTTTACATACTTAACCGAGTATATTGTTCGAATTGTCACAGATAGCTTGATAAGTTAGCACACCCACAGCACCTCTTCTGTCCCAGACTCAACACATGTCAACATCTCAATAGAGGCTCCACAGCGGTAATAGATTTTGGAATTGACTAAACCAATTTCCTTAAAAACAAGTTTGTGGGACTTAATGAGGCATAACTAATGGAGGTCCCACAATCATCCGTGCCATGCTGGAAGCACCATGGCAGGACAGAGCGGCCATTGATTCTTGCTTCAAACCTCTTGAGTTCCTAATCAGCTTCTTTGGTTGTGCGTTTCAGGCCTGACAAACCTATTGTTTGCCTGTGTCACTGGAGGTCAGTAGTTATTAGTGGCAACTGAAAACAGTTTCTCTAACTACTTATGAGCGAATTGAATAACATGCATAGGGAGACTTGGAGGGGGGATTAGACTGGCAGTGCGGTGAGTTCGGCTGGTGCAGGGGAGAATGTGACATGGTTTTCTAATAAGGGATGCTGCCCCCCCCTTCTTATCACTCACACAACACACACACAATCACACACTCTTCATTCTCCATCCTTCATTCACCCCCCCCCAAACACATACACACACACCTCGACCGCCACCACTGAAGACGTTTGACAATAGTCTTCAAAAGGAAGGTTGCTTTGGCCCTGCCATGCCTCATATCGCTAATATAGTAAGTAAGAGAATGAGCTAGTAGAGATTGTGGAAGAACCAACAGATCTTTGTGTGAAAGTGTACATTTCAGCTAAAGTTTTCTTTTGTCAAATTAAAGGCAACAATGTAGTTTTATGTATTTTCATTTCCCTATTAAAAGAAGAATTACCTTATGAGGCCTTTAATCTTCTTACATTTTTTCCCTGTAAACTGTGGGAGGATAATTATTTGCAGTTTTTTCTTCCCCATTTGAAAATGACTGGATTTTTTGACCCTTGGGGCACAGACTAGCAGACTTAAGGTGACTCATTTTGTGGGAACCAAACAGATCCAGCTTGTACAGGTGTGTCATAGTGAAGAGAAAGGTTGTCTCTCCTTGGCAAAAAAAAGCAGGGCAACTCTCTAATTAAAATCTCACTCTGCATCTCTCAGAACTTGCCAACTCATTGCATTCATCCACACAGTGAAATGAAAAGCAGACCTGGCCTCCTCTTAATCATTTCATGTGGGCGAGATTTGGGGAAGGAGGAAAGACGGAGGTGGAGTGCACTTAGAGGATTACTGCTGACTTAATCGCTGTAAATATTAACTAGTTGTATGATATCTAATAATATGATCTCCTCTGTCTATCAAACAAAATGTTATAAATGAAGTGAAGTCTTCTGGGATAAGTGGAGATACACAGCTGTAGTATTTTCTGAGTACATTTTGTATATCATTCCTTATTCCAACAAGACCAAAAAAACAACCTTCCTGCTTTACCTGGAAAACTAAACGATAATAGACTGTTTATGGCAAGGGATATACGTATGGTCTATGCTTTTGTGTAAAGTATGCGCCCAATAATACTAAGCCTTTGCCAATTAGCGCTCTCTTGGTTGCTAGGTCGCCATGGTCAATTGAGGAACACATCAATAGAACTTGAAAAGGTTTCTCTACGATCAGACCTTCTGACATATAAAGTAGAATAATGGGGAGGAAGGGAGTTGGGGGGTGGAGGGTGGGGTTGCAAAGACTGAAGCAAGTCTTCCTTCTTCATTCACATCATGCAACGCAACCTGCAATTACCTGAGAAGAATAGTCAAAAAAATTCTTTACATCAGCGCTCACATCCCCTCAGCTTCCACCTCTATGCAGACAGTATATGTGGCATTGAGGTAGTTATAGATTCCCTCTCCTGCTCAGATAGAAATACCAGCTCTGTGAAATAGAGGCTATTTTATAGAATGTATAACTTATTCAGTGTCTTTGTCTGCTGTATGTATGTAAGTGCAAGCAGTGTTTGTGTACATATAAGCAGAAATGAATTTACTCGTATGCATATGCATGTGTGCGGGGGTGTGAATAAACACACACGCACACACAAACGCAGACGATATTTACTCCTCAGCATCAACACAAAGTTGTGATTGCAGCCCCCAAACTTTCTAGACAGACATGATGATGCCAGCACCAATTACAGTGCCCAACCCGCCTCATGTACCCTTACTAAGAGAGGTACCCCCCAAAAAAGGCTGGAGAAGCAACAGGCACAATAGGCAGTGATTACCAAGCAAAGCCTATTAGAGTGCCATAACTATGGCTATTGAAAAGAGAAAAGAATGGCTTCACCTCCACTTTCAATTCATGTGGTACACCATCAAAATCTTTGTTGACGGCTCATTCATGCCCTCAATTTAGAGACCAAATCTATCAGAAACATCGAGCAGCATCAAAGTGTATATTGTGGAATGCATTTCTCCTTTTAATGCTCTTATCAAACTCCAGTCTCGCTCAATTCAAAATGTCAGGTGCATATTGGCTCTGATGCTTCCTTCGAGTGTGGAGATGATAGCACATATACATACAGCTGCCAGGTATGTGAAGGGGTTGGAAATGGGGGCTCTCCAAGGTCTCCATTGAGACACACTGATAGCCATCATCATCATCACAGGGTGTCATCAGCAGAGAGATTGAGAAGTAATTTTCAAACGTGTTTAAATGACCACAGGAAATGAAATGTTAGATCCTATTATCAGCCGCAGCTTGTGTTAAAAAAGGTTTTGGAGGACAGAAGCAAAGGGGAGCCAACACTGATGCTAAGTGATGACCTTAAACACTTTGGAGTTTGTTTGCTCAAATCATTCATCCACAAAAAGAGAATGATCAGGCTTGTGTCACTCTGTGTGTGTGTGTGTGTGTGTGTGTGTGAGAGAGAGAGAGAGAGAGATAAAGCGTTTGTGTGTACAGTATGAGGAAATCTGGGTGGAAAAATAGGTGACAACTTAAACATATTCTACCAGGGAGGCCAGAAAAATACTATTTAAAATCTAGATAACTTTAAAAATAGAAACTATAATTGCAAAGGTTTAGAGGAACTCTTGATAAAAAAATTTATCATATTTACATTTTGTTTTCTATCTGTTATATATTGTCTTGAAAGTTATGTATTTCATCAGATATCATAACCAAACAGAGAATCAAAATAAGGGGGGAGTTGACATTTAAAATAATTTGTCTATTTAAAATAACTACTTCTAATATTAATGATGGCTTATCTACAGTACGAATGCGCCAAAAACCGTAGCAGAAATCCACGAAAACGCAGCTGCAGTGAAAGGGGGATTTTATATTGAAGGTATTACATATATAGAAATTATAATTGTATAATAGACAGACGTATCTTTTGCTTTTATTAACCTATTATTACTGTTTGTTTTTGGCTTTTATTATTATTATTATTATTATTATTATTATTATTATTATTATTATTATTATGAGGGCAGGCTTCCCCTATCATACACACAATGTAAATCACTTGCCCATAATACAACATTAAAAATAAATCTTGGCATTTAGTCATCTTTAAAAATAATAATAATACTGTACTCGGTCTTGCAGTAATCTGGGTTCTTTGTGTGTTATATAGGCGCACGCACTCAAGATAAAACTGACCAATACTATAGCGGCGAACCGAAGCTCGAGGCCTATAAAACACATTACGATCAATATGTTTTAGGAGTATGTTTAAAATTATACAATTCTGTAAATAAAGGATGTACGGCTTCATGTCAGTATCGAACCTGCTGGAAAGTGTTATTCATTTTTTAAAAGGGTGATTTCGCGTCTCAGAGTCTCGCAGACATCGTCCATGAAAGGCAGCTCTCCAAAATGTCACCTGAACAATGCTGGCTCCCTCATCGACCTTGCTTTCCAGCTCAATTTGGTCTCAATCACAACATAATGAAAATGCACTCGAAAAACAGATGCCTTTAAAAAAAATTACTTCCTCAGGAATAGCTCTCACACTTCAAGTTATTTATTGTTAACGTTCACTTGGGTTTGAAACATATACAGCAGCCATAACGCATTTGTTCCTTTTTAACTTACAAAAGAATAAAGAAAACATAAAAGTGGACGCCATAACGATTATTATACAGTTGAACGCATTCATGTGTGTTAGCCAAATATACAAGTCCCTACTTTATTTCGTAAGTCTAAATGAATACATTAGTTTACAATATTAATATGTTAAAATACCAGGTTATCACCGCAAATAAGGAGTGGTGGCTCAGTGTACTCCAAACCTGATCCCACCCTCCCCACACCCCCAGTCCGCAATCTAGTGAAGCAGCATTCCTTTTTGTTTCAACAACATAGACTACGTTTAAAACATCATGAGGAAGGTCCAAAACATGGATTACAAAAGGTCCAGAAACGACATGATTGCTTACGAGGGCAGCCATTTCTGCAATGTTCAAAAATAGACTCCCCCTGTCAGAGATGTCAAGAAAATGTGCCCTGATCAGCTGGTGCGCCTCAGTCTGTGCGCCCTGTCCCTCAACCGACAAAGGCCATCTTTTAGCCTCCGTGTGACATATATATATATATATATATATATATATATATATATATAAGAAAAGTTGTATTTTGCTGTTGCATGGGCTCATCCGCAGGTTCACATAAAAAAGTGGAGTGATAGTTGGAGGTCCTACCACGTTCTGCCGTACAGGAGGTTTGAGCTGACCATGTTACTGGTGTAATCTACGGCAGAGGTGTCTATCTGGGCCATGTTGAGCTGACTGTGCAGTGAGGGGGGACTGGGTGACATTTCCTCTAGCTCCAAAGCGTTCACCTGCTGCTGGCTCTGATGCTGGTTGAGACTGCTGGTCGGGGATGCGAGCACAACTCCTGCCCCGTTCTGTTGTTGGCTTTGTTGTTGGCTCTGTTGTACCTGTTGCTGGTTCGGCGTCGGCGTGTTCGAGCCGTTCTGGCACGGTTTACCGTCCTTCACCAGAACTGGCACGGCTACGCGCCTCGGGGACTGCGCCTGCTGTTGGCACAGGTTACCGTCCTGTTGCTGCTGCTGCTGCATCTGCTGCGCCGCCTTGTCCTTGGCCTGCCGTTTCATCTTGTATCGGTGGTTCTGAAACCAGATCTTCACCTGGGTCGGTGTCAGGTGGATCATGCTGGCCAGGTGCTCCCTCTCAGGCGCAGACAGGTACTTCTGCTGCTTAAATCTCCTCTCCAGCTCGTAGACTTGAGCCTGCGAGAACAGCACGCGCCGTTTCCTTCTGGGCGCCGCGTGGAGAGCTGGCATAGATTTGGTGGCGTCCGCCATTCCTGTGAGACCCCCCATGCCGGTCATGTTCATACCTGTGGAAGGTCCCATGAATCTAGAAACTTAAAAATATACATACATATACATGCGTTCAATAAACAGAAGAGGAGAACACTGTTTCGCCTGCTGCAGAAATCATTTATTCTTTGCTCTTATAGAGTAAGCTGAAGATAATTATAATCATGGTAATAATAACAATAATAATGATAATAGTACAATAATAATAATGATGATAATTATAATAATAATAATAAAGTCACTGCGAGCTTACTTTAAAAATATTTGGCCCCAAAGATGATAAAAGCCAAGACAGACTTGAAAGAATGATCTCCTTTTCAGTTTTACTGGTGTGTAAATATTTCTTTTTTCAAATAAAATTCCCTAAAAAAGTTTTTTTTTTATTATTTTGCAAAGTTTTTATCACTCAGCCTTTAATATAAATTCAATGCCTAAAGAGGAGATACTATTAAATACTGTGCGTGTATCTCATTCCTAATAAAAACATACTTATTATGTCGACATTTCTTTTAAAAAATAAGAAAGTGTGCATAAATGTGATATTGTACTTACTTGTGGAATATCTGGGATCCGGGTTGGCGCTGTACCATCCTGTTGCTGCTGCACTATTCCGCATGCTCTCCTGGTACGACGGGAGGTCTCCCATGTTGCTTATGCTTCCATTGCAATATCCCCCCATTGCGCTGTGGGAGAACTGGGAGACGGTGTGCGGCATGTGGTAAGTGGTGGCCACGGTGGCGTTGTGGCCCATGGAGTGCTGTTGCATGCCGGTCTGAGACACCTGAGGCTGTCGGTAGGCTCCCAGTGGAGAGGTTAGGTTCCCTGCGCCGTCCATGCCACTAAACTTCTTGTAGGTCTCCTCGATTGGACTCAAAATATCTGTCACTGAAAAAGGCGTAGTGTGCTTTGGGCTCAACGACATGATTCAGAAAGCAGGTAGATTTTTGTGTTTGAGCAGATCAACCGTGTTGTTGTATCGGCTCTCTCCTTGGTGGATGTCTACGTAAGAGAGTGCTTGTAGTGCGCCTGAGATCCTATTGATCGCCTTGGAGAAGGAGGCGAGCCCAGGGCGCTCTTAGCCCGGGTTTATTGGAGCCAGGAGCCAGGTTTACGACAAACACAGGGGGCGGAGCAAAACTCCTAAATCAGCAAACAATAGTCATTGACATTTTAGGGAAATAATTCATGAAAATACATTTTTCTTTATATTAGGGTCTATACATGAATAAAAGACGCCACATATGTATGATTATCTTTTTCTGACAACCACATACAGGTGACAATAACATTTTATGTTCAGCACATCAGTTGGTCTGACCACGTATGACTATTTGCGTCAGTAGGGAATTCCACTCTTTCTAGAAACTTTGAGAGCACTTTGAACAGACATAAGGGCCACCGAGTATCATCAAAGAGGCACAATGAAGTTGTATGACCAGCTCATTTATGCTTCTTAAGCATCATTTTGCCCCAGCACAGAGAGACAGGTCCAAATAAGCTCAAAATGACAAAATGCTGACAGGGAGCGGCGATAGGGATCCAAGCTGTGAGTATATCTAATATTCATTATGAGGCAAGACAAAGGATACTAGATGAGATTACTGAGTTGATTTTATATCAAAAATTGCTTCAATAAATCAAGCACGTCAAGCTGCATTTGTTAAAAAGGCGAACTTTTTAATCAAATTTAAAACAATTTGGAGACAATATCATTCTCCTCAAACTCTTGAGTCTGGTCACCGAGCTTTAATGGCACTTTGCAGTCTTGACCTGACATTGTAATCTCTGAGCAAACTGACTGGCGCCAAGGGAAGAATCAGAGGAAAGGAGACACAACAGGGGGGGTCAAACGAGAAATGAGCTGTGACAAATTGCAACGACAAAACCGGTTAATAAAGGCTCCCATTAAAGCCTTACATGCGTCCCTTATGGATTTATGTCACTTTGAGCCTGCAGCTTTCGAAGCATATTAGAATCTTTACCTATTCTGATGTCTTGAATCACTATCAGCACCTTCCAGCAGGAAAAAAAGGAGCAGGTGTGCTGCTCTGAGGTTGTTCTCCACAAATGAATAGCGTTACCATCTTTCTTTAATGGGGGGAAGGAAACACTCGTCTGCATGAAGCCACTAATGTAATTTAGCATGGCGTAGCAGCAAAGTAGCTGTCTATCCTTAATTGAGCAATTTAGCAAGATGTGACATGGTCAGCCATCAATTAGAGCATCACATCAAGAACAACAATTTCCGGTTGGAATGATAGGCGATTGTGAGAAATCGATGTTCTGATGCTTATTGCAGCACCTGAATTTCTTTTCCTTCCTCTCTCGGATGCCTAGATTCAGAGGCTGTTTAGATGTGAAGTGGCTGTACTTTTTTGTCGTCCAGGAAAACAGAAAAATGCGCGCGTAAAGGAAGTTATAATAGTAAGAAACCAACTGAAGTAAAAAAGAAAAATCCAAATCATTAAATGCTTACGAAGATCGTGGAGTTACTAATTTAAAAAAACGCACCACAGTTCTTATTTATGAAAAGCTCCCTTTTAAGATAACCTTATATTCCATACCTGCAAATGGTCCACTAAATGTCCAGATTCCTTTGCGCCTTTTCCATTCCTTTAGCAGCACCAGCGCGGTGTCTTTTTAGGGCGAAGAGAAAGGTAGGCCTCGGCCCAGACCTCTAACATTATGTAAATGAGGCAAACCTCTCAACCTTCTGGATTACTGAGTCAGAGAGCAGGACCCTGGTCCACAGACCCTCCACATTAGGATCCCATAAAAATCTGGAGCTAGTTAGAGGCACGCAACGCACATGGGAGCTTAAAGTCCACAATAATATGGCTGTAATCAATAAAGGTTAACTTTCACATCTGGGAATGAAGAAGACTTGGCAAAGGCAGGGAGAGCGGGAAACAAGGACGCACAAGGAGCGATGAAGAAGGCCGCGCTGCAGGTTTGTCATTAAAACTTACACATTTCGAAAGAAAAAGATTTTAATCGCCCAGCCTTACTCTGTGGCTTTTCTGTTCATATTTACCAAAGATAGATTGTTTGTGTGGGTTTTTACAGAGTGTGTGTTTCATGCTAAAAGCATCGATCAATATACACCTTGCAATTAATCTATCCACGCACTGGCGACAGAAGAGGCATAAGTGGCACCTTAGAAGCTACCTGAACAAGGAAATTTCAGTCTAGGGACGATGTCGAAGGACAATGTGTTAACTTGCGTGAAACTCTGTATTTCACCTGTAAAACGCTTTGCGTTTTTCTCTTTGTCTTTCTCTTTTGCTGAAAATTTATTTCACCTTATCTCACTTGGAAAATATTTCACAAGCTTTAGAAAATAGCTTAATTGCTGATGTGCAAACCAAAGTCTATAAGAGAAAAAGTGATAAGTGCTCTGCTATTCAGTGAAAAGATGCAAGCCAGGCATTGCTTTGCCACCAGCCATTGATTCATCTGTGCTGTGTGCAAGACGTGTAGGGGCAAAAGCGCCCCACATACATAAACTGAAATGGCTGCCTTCAAGGACACGATCCATCTTTTCAGTTTATGATGAAGATATGCTGTTAACCAAATCCAAATGAAAGTTTATGTAGTCCATGTCCCAGAGACGACCTTTTTCCGATATCATCACCCTCTCAGCTCAGCTCAGCTCAGCAGAGAGCAGCAGATGGACCAAAGCGCTTGGTGGCTGAATTGCTTTTCTCTATCTCGTCCTTGCTGGTTCAATACCCTGAGAGATGTGGAGAGATGGTTGAAGGACCAGGGTCCTGACCTGCAACCTTAACCACACAGTGGCAAAGCACTGAGTGCCGACAAAATGGGGATTTATTTTCATCTTGCAGCCCTTAAATCTTTTCTTCTTCTTTTTTTAACTTTTAAATATCCCCCTCTATTGTGAGTAAAATCTAAACCAGCAATAACACTAGAGACTTGTGCCCAGTTTCTTCTTACATGTCTGTATGTATTGTTTGGATTCCTTAGCAGGTGAAAAGAAAAAAACACCCGTAAATTTTGCGTGCGTAATTTACGCACGACCAACTGTCGTGGTTTTTCCTTTGTCTCGGCCTCACGGTGGACTTCTTAGGATATCTTATCATTTCATCCATCACATTTATCAATGACGTATTTAGTATGGTGATCAACGAAAAAAAATACAGACTTGTTCGTCAGGGGTGCTTCAAAAATTATTTTAAAAAACAGCATTACGCACCAATTTATCTTCTTTCACCAACAATCTCAGCACTCAATAAATCAATCAATCACACAATACAAATGGAGTAAAAAGAAGGCGAAATTATATCAAGTATTTTTATTTCTATAATATCAGTATTCGCTCTCAAGAAAGAGACTAAAATAATTTCAATTTCTATTTGATATTAAGCGATTTACAAGTGACCGACAGTGTCATTAACAAGAAATTAAGAGTTTTTAGTGCATTTTTACGCACGAAATAAAAACAGTTAATTTATTTTTCCGCACGTTACTTTGAATGTTGAAATTAGTGTAAAGCCACCAATAATTCATCCTCTTCAGTCCTTTCTTCAGATTTTTAGGATTTCTGTACTGTGGTCAGCCCTGAAGCTAAACTGGTGAGGAAAATTTGTTGAGAAAATTCCACACCTGCAGTCAGTGTAGTACCATTTAGATCAAATGCTTTCTCTCCTCTTAAATCGCTGAGCAGTGTGAGAGTAAAAAGCAGGCAGGTGCATATCTTTCAGCTGCACTACTTGAAACGGTGCGGTTCCTCAGCTAAGTAGGTTAAAGGTCCTCCCAAGTGGAGAAAGTATGTGACAGGCCTCTTGAAGACCGTATTCTTCAGCGGGAGTTTGCATTCATTCACAATTAATGTCGCTTGATGGACGAAATGATGCTAATAGGGCGCCCAAAACAGAACATGGGCTCTTTCGGGATGTTGACCATAATCTGACTGCTGAGGCAAATGGAGAGCTGGAGAATTCACATGCGTAATAAGTCTGAAGTTACTTTCATTTCTTACATTTCCGGGCCATGACGTGTATCAGAGTATTTATTGACTTAAATGACAAAAGAAACGAGATGCAAGGTGAGCTGTCTTTAAATGGGATCCTGTGTGGTCATGTTGCTTGAAGGAAGAGAATTGATATTTTTTTTAACAGGTAATTACTGTAGTTCTTCCGTCTCTTAAGAGAAAACTGTCAAGGTTCTTTCAGGAAACTGAGACACTTTTGTGTCTATGTCGCCCAAGAGAAGTTCTTTGAGCTTTTTAAGCCTCTGAACCAAGGCCATGAAACACAACAGAGAAAGTCAGAGCCTGTGCCACTCACACAGCATGAAACCAAGCTGTTGATATGCACACTATAAAACCAGTTGTTTGCTCTTTTTGTAAGAGAAGATGTAAGCAAGAACTCACTTAAAAGTAGCATGATATAACTGCTAAAGACATGCAGGTTGTGGATACTCACGCATATTTGACTTAAATATTTTGCATTAAAAATAGTTAAGTGTGTTTGTAAGCCACAGACAATTAAAACTGATGTGCTTTCTTTGCATAAGTACAAAGAAGTTTAATTTTTCCCAAGTTTTTCCCTCACAAATCTTACAACATGAGAGTCATGAAATACAAACATTAATCCTACCAGTTTGTATTTATTGAGATCATGTATTAAAGCCTTAGACAGACACCCACATCCTGGTTTAGACTTCAGAACATGCAAAGAAGCATGACATTTTTTATACGCACTTATATATGATCAACTTTTGTGAGATTAGCATTAAAAGTACATTCATAAGTGTGACACACAAACACTGTAAAGGTAAGCAAAGTCAGTTATGACATTCAGCACTTTGTCACACTGTCTGAAAGTGTTTAGGGCAGAGAATTTAGTCACTTAGTTGTGAAACAGATCAATCCTGCTATAATATAGGCACTCTGTGAGTGCTGCAGACCTGTGCATTGTTTTCAATGAGATCATTTAAGCATGGCTGCTCTCTTTTATACTAACAATAAAAAAAAGAACACAGCCGCTGATCAATACAGATAGCTAAGGTTCTGGTTGGTTTTCTGCTGCATTAAACGTGGTAACAGTAAGCAAAGCTGATTGTGATCTAACCACAGCTCACTTTAGTTTTGTCACAGGACAAAATGTCTCTCTCAGGCTCTCTGTGTGTCAAAGTGCCCTTTACAGTCTGCTGGTGTGGCATTGAGTGAAGTCTGCATGATTGTCCTGAAATGATCTTATCAGTTTATAGAAAAACAAAAACTTGTGGTAGACATCCTGAATTTATAGATTAAGGTTCCAAATGTTTTTTCTGACTTCTTTAACCATTTATTCTGTACGACTGAACTTTTTTGCTTCTGTTGCCTTTCATTTGCCTCACACCAAAAAGAAAGATGAGATAAAAGTTGGTTTAATAATAAAATCTTATTGCTTACAGGGTGACTGGTTTACATTAAATCAATTTTTAAAACCATAGAAAGAAACACATTTGAGAGTTTATTATCTATGGCAAGTGACCTTGTTAGGCATTTGCATGCATATTGTGTATTTCCTTCAATTCAGTTTTATTACTTTGCTTAAAGGTTGGGTTTTTTGATCAGACAGTTGTACTCTCTCATAGCTGCAGACGTTTCACACCATCATATGGGGTAAAAAAAAATAATAATAAAATGTGGTTTCACACCTGAAATTCATGCAAATAGCTACAATCTGTATCAAGTGTTTCCTGATGTCCATTTTTTGCCTGGGATTCATTTTTCAGCTTGTTTTCACATTAACCGTGAAGAGATGCATCTTCTAATCAAAAGTTTCAAAGCACTTTGAGTGCTCTGTGTGGAGACAGAAACTTTTTAAATGGCTCCACAACTCATGGATGGAAATGTAACCAGAAGCTGCATATCAATGTGATAGTTCTACCGGTCTGTTTGTCCCCTCTTTTGGACGCTTTTATCTAGTAGGCCACCTGATAGCCTACAATTATTTAGATGAATCCCCATAAACACATCACAAAACTACTTTAAATTCTGAATGTATTGATCCTGACAGACACAAGCACATCCCATGTGCGGAAATTTAAATTTTAAAGTCAAAGCCCATTTTTGGGACCCGGTGTATCAAGATTAAAAATCCTCATTTTGTCTGGTTTTCTTTGGAGAAATTGAACCCTGCTTCAGTCACCTGCAGCACACTGAAGAGGGGAGGTGGTAAACTGAAGGCTTTGTGAGTGAAAGATATCACTGGGCGAATAATAGAGCGGCTCCAGGAATGTAAAACAGACGCCAATATTAGCGTTTTAAAATCAGCTCACCATCTAATACTTCAAAATCACAGAGGATATTTTTGTTATGTGACTGTCTGTGTTTGTCACTAAATTTATTCACAAAATTCTTTAACAAAAAGCTATTCTTGTCTTGTAGGTGAAGCCATGCCTGTGTGTCAATAATGAACAATCAAAAGCATAAAAAATAAATAAAAAATCAGTGGTGCCATTTTAAAGAAAAACTCTATATTAAACAATCCTAGTGTGATAATCCAGCTTTTTATTTTATTGAGATTTCATATCCTTTTTTTTATAATATCAAAAATAAAGGGGAAAAATGAATATTATATTAGAAATATTAATGATCTTTCATACAGCATTACAATATTTGTCATATTCTTTAATTAAATTTCCCTTTAGGGATTAATAAAGTTCTTCTTAATCATTTCCCCTCTTCATGTTTGTCTCTGGAAAAAAAAGGAAAAAATTAAATAAAATTACACCTCTTTATGTACTGATTAAATCATCCTAATTTGGTAAATCCTGATATAGTTGCATAAGGAGGTCAAACACAGAAAAAGTTTAGACTTAAGACAGGACATTTTTAAAGTGCTTTGCTGAAGGCCATATTTGCTAACTTTACACAGCAGAACAGAGTCGACCAAAGAAATCTTAACTTAACAAACGCTTCAGTCAGTAGGCAGTGATTTTTTTTTTCTTTCATTGAGACAGAAAAGTACAGACATTTAATTTACTTTAAGTGGACGTTAAGGGAAACCTAAGTGAATTTTCTCCAAAGACCAAGACCAAAGAAACTTTACACCTACACCTCATACTTAGAGCTACTTTATATCCATGTCTCAACTATACCTAATACTTAACAACTCTCATTTTGATGGAGTCAAAGCTAAAGCTGCTAACATGTGCAAAATGTGCATTTTGAAAGTCGAAACAGCAAGGTAGGGTTTTGTACATTTAGATTGTGATGCTACTCAGCAGAGTTAATACACAAGAAGTGGCATGATTTGTGAGCAACGTGTGAGGATTTCAGTTTTCTTGAGTGGCTGCATTTAAAATTACTGCAGGTAAAAAGTCACTCAATGGAAACAGAGGGGAAAAAAGGAAAGAAACAAAAACAAAACAAAACAAAAAAATACCAGTAATACTGTGGGTACAATATTTGACACGGCAATAGATGATCATCTTTCTACAAAAAAGTGTGTGAAATACACAACAGAAGTAAGCAGGCATTAACAGAGGCCACAATTTGTTACACACAAAGTGTTTGTGTAGAAATGTACAACCGTGTGTTCAAGTGTCATGCAGAAATGACTAACATCCAGCTAAATTATAGAAAATGATGGAGTGAGAATGACATCCAAACAAGAAAATGCACAAATATTATATATATTTGTTTTGTATGACAGTGATACATCAGAATTATGGTTTAACTTGCATTTTTTTTCACCTGTCCTTCAATTTTTCAAATAGTTTGGCACAAAAACAACCATATGCACTCGATCAGTTATAGAATAAAGCCTTAGAGGGATTAATATAAAATCTGAATTAGTGTAGAGTAAATGCCTTTACATGTTTCATGTAGTTGTATGGGTCTGTCAGCACACAGGTGTAAATGACAGCAGAGCGACATATTTCAGGGATGTCATCAAAACAAATGTCAAAATCTGCTTTTGAAGAAAGAAAACAGAAGCTCAATCTGGATCATGTTTTTCTATAATCATACTTAATGTTTAGGTTTTCAAAGAGACTTAATGTTCCTTTCATTTAACATCTTCTCTGCCTCCTACGTGAAACTAACTCATCCAAGGCTGGCATGCTTGTCGAGTCAATGCGTCACTTCAGAGATGATATAATGCAGGAAAGAAAAAAAACATATTAACTCTACCGTAGTACCATTTATCACACAATAATATCAATATTTATTAGTAAAAGCTCTCTATTAAACATCAAAATAGTGAGAGTTATTGTTAAGCTCTGAAGATGAAACCCTTCAGCTGTGTTTTATTATCACATTCACAAAGATTGATTCATGTTAAAAAAGTATTTTACCATTTACAGTGTCATTTCTGCCTTTTCACACACTCTACATTTCTCATAATTCCACTCATCCCCATCGGATCAAAAAATCTTAGGGTTTAGAGAAAGTATGTTTAAAAGTTAGAATTTTTTAAGGGTAGTTCACAAAAGACATAATCTATGAATTGTTACACAGAGATCTAGTAAATAAAGACGTTGTGCATTGACTTGTTTTACACCTTTCCCCAACATGTGATTTCTGTGCGTCTGCCTTCCTAATGCTTTGCAGTCATAACAAGTCTTGCTGGGGCTAATGGCTCTCTTGTTTGTTGGTTTTGTCTCGTCTTGTTTCAGTGATTCTTCCTCTCTGGAAGGATGTCAGCTCGCTGTGCCCGGCCGTCTCTGAGGACGCTTGATGTCATCTCGTCTACCTGATCATTACACTACCTGTTCTCCTCTACAATGCTGCCCTCTCGCTGCTCTGCCACTTGAAATGCTTGGCTGGCCTCTTCTCTGAAACCATCATGAAATTGTTTGCTAAAACGCTGCAGACTGTTCCTCCTCTCTCCTCCCTCCAGCCATGTGTGCAGGAGCCAGAAAAGATTCCTCCACTCAGACAACTGCTGCTCAGTCAAAAGGAAAACACACAAAATACCCTTCAGCCGCCTGCCTCTGTTCACCTCCTCACAGCTTTTATTGATGTTTGAAGTGTGTGAGATTTTATTGACTGCAGCAGTATCCAGGTAAATTAAATGGACACATGCCATAGTTGTTTAAAAGGTCAGGATTTACCGTCACATAGGTTCACTCACTCTGTCTGACTCTGGATATGAGATGGTGAAGAGTCTGTGAAAAGATAATTCGTATCATGGGCACTTATTTTTGAGGAGTTCCCTTTATTAATCAACAATAATGTATTTTTTTTCATGCTTAACAAGAAGATAGAGTATAATAACCTTGTGCTGCTATTATATTTTTAATCTTTCATGCAGTTTGAATAAGAAAAAGATCTACAGTCAATGCATCAAAAGGAAAAATATTCACACATTTTTTCGTCTTCAAGTAGATTCTTTGTGTTAGCGAAGAGCTCTCTCTTTTTTGCAATCCAAGAAATGTACATCATAATCTTATTTTTTAATTTTTATTAAGACATGTAAGACATATGTATAAGATGGGATGTCCACGCTGAATCACAGCTGTAGTCATTCTCCATTAAGCTACATTGTCCCAAGGCTTGAGTGCTGTGAATTTAGTCTCACTGTCACACTGTTGTGGCCATTTTCTAATGTTACTACTAACATCTGCACTTCTCTTGTGTTTTCAGGGCCTATTGTTTCCTGCAAATGTTTTATGCAGGGTTTGGTGTTTGCCCTTTTGACCCTGCTGTAATGACACTGTCTACTCTGTTACAAAGAGTGATTATCTTTACTGGGAAAAGTGAGCATTTTATTTATCGTCATTTATAGTTATTTATGAATTTTCTTGAGAACATTTCTCTGAGATAAAGTGATAGTGACTATTATCACTATTTCATCTGAACGATTTACATCAACAGATAAAAAGCGAAAATGCTGTATTCTGCTGTTTATTTAAAAAAAAATTCTCATTAAAAATGTAAACTATTTGCCTACTGTTTAGCCCTTGTAAGCTTTTGGGAAGATACATGCATGCACTTTTTTTCACAAAAGGAGCGTGATTTTAGTCCCTCGTTAGTTACAACAAAAGTGCATTATTAAAAAAGAGGGAGAGACAACCACAAGGAAAACCTAGTGCTTTTATTTCTGGGCTTTTTAAAAAATGTGAAGCTTTTAAATCTTATAGATGATCCAGATTGTTCTATTTTATTACTCTGTCTTCTGGTATGTGACTCAGAGAAAACACTAGAATGGAACTAAGTACTGCAAAATTACTCTCACATGAAGGTTGCTTTGAACAAAAGCGTCTGCTAAATGAAATTGTAGGATTGTAGATAACTCAACAACTCTGCCATTGACAATATTGTTGATGATTTTTCCACTTTTTAGAAGAGACAGTTTGATGAACATGAGACACACATCATCACACGATCTGTGGTTTCCATCATCTTTGACTATTTGAGTGATCCTCTGGGTTTACATTACTCCAGACTTATGTTCTGAATAATGTGGATGTAAACAAGTCTTAATGTATAGCTATGTTAATCATGTTTATTCAATATGATAATGTATTTCATGAGTATATATCTTATATGTGAATACAGTAGACTGTTTGAACACGGCTGCGGTGTCAGAGCAGCCGTCTGGCACACATTCGTACATCTGACCCAGGAAAGTCTGGAGTCTCCTACCTGTCCACCGCATGACAGTGCAGCGCTTCACTGCTGGACACTTCGCAGCTGAGGGAAAAGGAGGAGGAGGGCTGTTGAGGAGGACTTCAGTAGCATCACCAGAGACAGGACTGTGGTTACTTAAGTTGAATGTAACTCCTCCTGGATTAACGGATCTCAGTTGCACTTCCAAAATGTGCAGATGGATAGCCAAGCACTATTTCATGCTTTAAGCTAAAACTTCAATAACTTTGCTTTTACAAAAAAAAAAAAAAATCCTTTTGTATGATTTTTTAAAAACTTTTTATGAAGACTGTATCTGCCAAAGCTACTTTTAATGTATACATCCTTAATCTTCAGGATTAACTTCAACACACTACATCTTTAGCTTGAGGAAACTTCCAACAGTTTGTGAATGTTGGTGATTATTGTCACCTTAAATTAATTTTCAATAACAAGTCTTCTGTGTGTTTCTAAATTGGAGCTTAAACACTGTATATGAAAATGAGTAAGTACACCATGCAAAGCCACTGACTGAAATTTTGAAGTTATGATACAATATTTGCAGCCAGTTCGATGCTTTAAAAGAATCATTGGTCACTTTCAGAGTTAATTGTGATACTGAGAGTGTTAGTTTGCTGTGGGTGTTTCTTATATGGTGCAGTGTGCATTTAGCAGCATTTAACAGAACAGAATTGGCAAATTAAATGTGACATTCAAATGTGTTTAAATTAGTGTGTAATAACCAAAAAACTTAGAATGACTTAGAATGACCTGGAATGATCTATGTACGAGTTAGTCCACTCCCACAGAGGCGGGTGTCTTGCGCCATGTCTTTACAAACGACTGAAGACCATTATGCAAAATTGCCAAAAATGTAGCACTTGAAGATATTACAGCAAAAAATAAAATTAAAAACTAGATAAATAAAATAAAATAAAATAAAAATTTTGATAGACATTTTTGGTTTCCAGATCTTGACAAAGGAGGATCATACCTATCATGCATCACAGGAGCTTTTTGTCCTCCAAGGCCACTGTAGAGTCTAGAGTTCCATCAGTGGGAGGGGTTCAGTCTGGAGTCTGACTGCTTCATATCACTGAGTGTTGTTTTTTCTTTTCATTTTTTTTACACACTGTAGCTTTAAGTTAAGATTATGCAAAAATCATTGATTAAACAGAAGTGCATCATGTGACAGTTTTTCTCCTTTCTTTCTTTGTCCAGAGATTATTCACTTAATACACAGTCAAAAACCCGTACAGTTTGACTGTAAAGTGAACTGTGATATATGTACCCCTCATATGGATAGAGACGTCTGAGAATAATCAAACACTCATTTCTGATATTATAATATAATGTAATTGAAGCTTCACTTCCTGTTTTTGTTAACAGACAAAAATTTTGAAACTTGCCTTTCCATTTTCCATTAACATGTTCATTTATTAACCTCCAAAATAATGTAGAAATTTGACTTTATAACTATATTTTTAAAACACCAGAATACCCATAAAATGATTGTAATATTAATATTGAACAGTTCTTGTCAAATTTACCCAGATGACACATTTTCAGCAGCAACCACAACCAAATCTAAACAAAGGTATTTACTTTGATTAAACTTTCTCAAGATAATTACAAATAATAATAAATGCAGTTTTGGAAACACAACAAAGCGCAGTACATACAAGTTTGATGTTCAGGTGAATACAATTATCTACTGGTATGTCTGTAAAGACTTAAAAACCTGAATAGATTAAAAAAAATACTGACTGATAGAATTCATATAAAAACGGTCAAACAGCAGATGGAGACATTACAGTAAAGATCTCACTGATCTCCAGTTGGGGAAACAACTGCCTGACTAATTCATGGATAAAAACTTTGACAGTGGTCTGTAAAGGGTCTGAATGCTGGGTGTGAGATAGAATATAAAAACTGTATACATAGCCTACTGTATGTCTAACACTGATCTTTTTTCTTTTAGTGTAAATGAGAAATTGTGGATCTATGTTTTGGAATTGCAAGTGAAACAAGCCAAAAAATTTAAAACTATCTGTCATACACTAAGTCAAAATGGCTAAAATAATAAAAAATGAAATCATAATGTGTACAAAGTCAGTGTACTTTCCTCCCAAGTATATAATCAGAGTGTTACAGAAAATATTTTTGTGTCTGTCCATGCAGACGTCCTACAGTCATTGGGCTTTGTTCCCTTCTCCTTTTGTAAGAGTGCTTTAACAGTGATTGTGTTTGTAAGTCCATCAGCTCTGTAGCTCTGTGATGGTCAGACAGAGGAATAAGAAAGTGCAAGTGAAGCCATCCATCACAGCTATATGTGAACTGTGTTTTTGTTTTACTGAGCTGTTATCACTGTTATTCTTCATCATAATGCCAGGGTCAAATGACCCCAGAGAACAGTGGACTGAAGGGAAAGTTGTTTGTGTTAGTGTGAAGATGAAAAAAACATGGTCGCTGTATATCAATGACTTTAGGAGGCAAACTGAAGGTTATTGCTTCAGTTTTTCCACAACACAAAGAGAGTAGAGACTAAATGATGCATAGTGTCTGAAAGTGCATCACTCGCCCATACAGTCAAACTGCTCCTATTCAGTGAACAACAAAAGCCACACCATGGAGAAGCTTTCTTTCTTTTATTTTTCCATTCAGCAAAGTTAGCTCCAGAAGACATTATAAATTCAGCACAGGGGTACAAGTGCACAAACACATGATAGGCACAACTTCCTACACATATTTGACATCCTCTTTAAACAGGAGGCTAATTAGGCAGCTTGAATTGGTAAAACACGTCGCTGCCACACTGCCGCTCTTTGATCATCACGCATGCTGATTGAAGCATGTCTGAAACAGATGACGGCCGGTTGTTATCAGGCTCAAAGCCCCAGGATCCATTTGCAGTGCTGGCATCTCAAGCACCTCATGTTCATCTTCTGAAGAAGGTGAGACAATCCATTAAGTGAAAGGCATAAACACTCAACTCTGGGAACCTGATTGTTGGCGCTGTCCCCCATCCAGCCCATCTGACTGCAGCGGACTGTGGGTTTTATACAAGACAACTCAAGGCCTAAGATGGAACATTGAGAGAGAGAAGACAAAGGGAAATAAGACCATATGGCACTTTGAATATCATAACAAAGCAGCAGCACAATATTTCAATAGAAGACCACATAGCCGTATAACACAGAGGACTGAGCTGAAGTTTTCTCTCAGTATAAATGTTGTTGTTGTTGTTGTTGTTGTCATGCATTGTTGGAACACATTTACCTGCAAAGGACAGAGCGATTTTGGGAATTTCAATAAACGGCATGGCCTGTTTCATTACATCACAAATTAAAAGTTTAAGTAATTATGTTTGGGCATGTTTGACCTCTGTATTTTGGTGATCTACTTTGAAGAGCTAGATTTATTGAATAATTAAAAGAAGAAATTAATTTCATTTCATTTCATTCAATCTAAAAATGACATGGAATAACAGGAATATTTTTGATTTTATGCACAAATTTATTTGGAAAAAAAAAAAAAAACAAGTTTGTTTATCAATGTTATTAGTTTCCTCTGCTTTAATTGAACTCAATTGCACAAGGTCATTAAAAATGAACATTTTTAGCATGTGTGATAACTAAACCAAGTCTGTCAGCTTTGACATAAAACTGAATGAGCATTTTCTCCCGCAGAGTTGCTGTCATTTTCAAAGAGTCGCTGGAGTTGAACTCATGTTTCAGTCACTCACAGGTTCTGTGAATGCATCACAAGGGCTGCACTTTGGAAGAGTCTGATGTTTAAGAGTCAACCAGTGTGAAATTGTATTTTTTGTTATCCTAACTTTTGCTGTTTTGTGTACCAGACCACCACAGTGTGTGTTTGTTTGTGTGTATGTGTGAAGTAGGGAACTCTGCAACTCATATCCAAACTTTCATTTTTGAACCAAATCTTTACCTGGAAGATTTTCAAATTCTTATGTGCACTAATTATATAAGCCATTTGGTTAAAGTTTAGTTTTTATACATCTTTTTTCTTTTCTCAAATTACACTATGTGAAGAGCTTATCATATCAGCAGTGCTGTATGGCAGCAGAGCCAAAAAATCTAAGAAAAGAAAAATAAAGAGTCCTGGTTACAGCTTACTCATTGTGACGCTGTCTTTGCTCTCGATCAGATGAAATTAGCTTGAGCAATGATTGCTGAATGTTTGTATTTTTTATGATCTTACAGTTAAGCATCTGTCTTTGCACACTGCTGAGAGCAGGAGGAAGCTGAAGCTGCTTGAGTCACATTAAACTGCTAATAGCTCTCAACAACCCTTCTTTTGGATGGTCCCATTCATTTGTCATTGACTGTCAGAAAAAGGAGATGAGCCATCCGCTGTTAGAAAACGACCAAAGATATACACTGATTCAAGCTGCTCCGACTTCAAGTGAACAGAAAGGTTTGTAAAATTTGGCTTTACCGCTACATGAACCCAAAGATACATGCAGGATAGCAGTTACATACATTACATCAACCACATTGTTTAATATGAACCTACAATTAAGAAAAAAAGCCGGTATCATTTCTGTAGTCATTTATTTCATTGATTTGTCTTTACATCTGTGCAGTCATGAATTGAAGAAAACAGTCGTAGAAAATTAGCAATGATGAAAAAGAAAAAGGAAATCCTCTACCTGAGCTTTCTATCCCGCGTCCGAACAGGGCAGTCAGTGTCAGACTTTGCTTTTTTTCCCCTAATCTTTACATTCAGCAAAGTCAAGAACCTTGACGCTCTCTCTCCTTCGCACAGAGCTGACTCCAACCTTGCCACAATTTCAAAACAGGACTGTCAGCACCTCTCTCTGTAAAACACTGCTGCATGTTTTGGCTTGTCCAAAACAAACAAGAATGGAGGCTAAAAAACATGGATTTATTTCAGTTTCAAAATTCACTGAATTTTACCATCAGGATTTCGATATTTTTAGGTAGTGTGTTTTTCAGTCCAGCATTAGCCTTGACTTAAAACTAGACCAGGAGGGAGCTAAAACTCTACTTATAAACTCCTGATGAATGGACCACAGGAGAACACAGACATTGGGAGGAAACTTAACCAAATTGTCCTTTACCTTTTCTCTCAGCTTTGTTTTTATGTATGCACAAGAAGACCATTTTACACCTGTGTCAGGAGAAAGCAGCTAACAGGAAAGGCTTTAAGAAGTAGAAGAGGTCGCTTTAAATCTACTCACCATTTGGAAAAAAAGTGTTTTTTGGCGGGATGCATGCAGATGATTCTTATGATACATGTTGTACAGATGATAAACATGGGGTAATACTGCATGGGTCACTGATTTTGCATTCTGTCCTTGTATAGTTACTTTTTCTACTCTGGGGTTTTTTACAGATAGTTTTAGACCAATTCAATTCCAATTCAAAGGCAAACTGAGCACAATGATTTTTAACAGGATACCAACAGACAGGTTCATGAATGTAAACATATATTTTTTTTTTACATATATTACACCAAATTATAAATTTTCTACCAGATGTGAATGCATTTGAAAAAGCACAATGCAGTACTGTTTTGGTGAGAAAGAGAACAGTATGCAGAATACTGCAGGTTTATGCTATTTTGTTGTTTTACCAATAGTGCCCATACTTAATGCAAATACCTTTTTTAATTTGTAGCTAAAAACAGCTTACATAAGGGGTGGTACAGTGATTTTTCTTTTTATTATTAATGTCTAAGATGAGCAGAATATGACAGAAGTTGGAGATATGCGGGCCAGCTGTTGTGTTTTTCCTCGGTTTTCCCAGGCTCCACTGCAAAAGTGCCGAAGCTCTTCTCTGGGTCACTCACTGGTTTGTCTCTCAGCTCAGCAACTTCTTCTCTGCAGATGGAGGTAGATCTGTGCAATGCTCTGCAGACAGTCTGTCCCACTGAAGAAACTTGTGGATTTGTCATGCGGAGTTGCTCGAGTTCACTGTGACACATGAATCTCAATAACTCCACCCCTTCAACCTGCACCGATACAGACATATTGCTGCCTTCACCAGCAGTAAGAGAGTAGGAGTTGAATTTTTAAATGAGGTTTTGATTTCTTTTTTTTTTTTTAGTGTCTTGAAGAAACTTGGATCTAGAAAAGTAATGTCTGGATTTTTGCTGCTTGGTCTGTCTGTCTATCTTCTTTAAATTGCTCCAAACTTTTGCAGATTAAACATCTCTCTCCCTTTTTTCCTGCACTCCTATTCCTTCATGTTCAGCATCCAGCCAACCCCCTGCTGGTGCAGCTTTCTAACCCAATGAGGCCCCCTACAGGTGCAAGCTCACTGAAGCTGAACCGAGCAGGTGCATAAAGATGGAAGCCTTTTATTTTGTCATTTGACCCACTTTGCAGTGCTTTGCATACTTCTTCTCTGCATGGGTAGACGATTGTGCTCAGGCACTTTGCAGCCTGGAAAAGAAATCCTGCAGTACATGATGGACATCTAAGTGACATGACTGAAAGGAATTTATGAATCAAAGACTTTTTCAATCAAATCTCACAGATCTGTTGCTTGATTTGGATGCACTAACCAGATATCTACTATCATTTTAATTCCTGGATCATTTTAGGTGATCAATTAAACAGTAATTGGAAAAAAACAGCTTTTCATGCTGCTGGAAACATTTGACTTGGGGTCTGCTTTGTTGTCAAGGATTGAGACTTTCCTTGCAAAACCTCACTTGAGCTCCATTGTCCACTTTCACTCAAGTGAATTAATCTGCACTAGAAATGTCCCCTTGTCCTATTGCGCCACACCGTGGATGCTCCCAGTCACTGTGCAAATCTCTCCCCTGTGGAAGTTGGCTCATTGTACCTTGACGGTTGTTAGTTTTCAAGAGCGATATGATTATGCTCTTAAGATCCATCAGTAAGTCACAAACAGCACTCGCGCACTTAAAGAGACAGTCAAGTCTGCTGTGATGTTTGTTCATTAGCTAGAGGAGCATTACTTGGTTGGAGTAATGTGTGCTGCTCGAGTCAGATGAACTTCCACTGTTAGACATTTGCAGGTGAAAGCTGCATGACGCCAACTGAAGACCTCTGCTTCCATCTTGTGGCCGCGCGGTGTAACATTTCTCTTCGCCCTCCCCCACCAGCTCTCTCCATCCATCTCTCTCTGTTTAATATCGGCACCGTGGCGAATCTAATCTGGATCTCCTTTAAGGCAATAAAACCCAGATAGCTTCCTTTAAATGAAAAGCACCGCTTATTATAGCTTTGAAATCCTCGTTTATTTGGCGATGTGCGTGATAGAAAAATGATTCATGTCGAGGTTCAAATGGGCAGGATGACGAAGATCCATGGTGTCCCAAGTGCACATTTCCTCAAGTATTGTATTCCAAGGTATATAATAGTGTTATCCACGCAGGTTGAACTATGCTGCACGCAGCGATGCTTGTTTTAATGTCGCCTGCTTTATCCCTCCAAGCAGCCAAAAGCAATTTCCGACAAATCTGACCCTGTTGCTGAGCTGGTGGAGGAGTGTGGTGTAATTTTCTGCTGCGTTAATAACAAAACACGGGTGCGAAGCGAATTTTGGTTACTGTAAAAGTTTACCGAGATGGATTTTACCCCGCTGAAATTTTTTTTTTTTTTTTTTTTTTTTTTTTTGTGGCACAATATTTTTGTTGTGTGTGCATCCCTGTCTGCAATTAAATAAATTAAATTAAAATTAAAAGCATTGACAGAAAAAAAAATGTTTTTAAAATAAGGACAGATTTGGAAACCAGGATCCAGGATTCAGATTTGGGAATTCGTTTTCTATCAGATAGCTCACAAAATGAAAAAAAAGGAGAAAGGGTTGTATTACAATGGACAAAAATATATATTTAAAAAGATTCAAGCAATTTTCAAATCTAATTTCTAGTCACTCCTCAGGCAGGAAATGTTGGCGGAAAAGTCCAATAAACATCTGGTATTATCTCCAGGGTTTTATTCCCATTGGAAAACCTCTGCAATATAACCTTGATACCAGCAGATTCTCAATAATAAAGCAAACCGCGTCTTCAGTAGCCTATTTATCATTTCACTAAACTTTCAATGTATTTTGTTTGGTTGTATTAGACTCCTCGTAACCTAAATCTAACGCATCATCCGAGAAACTTGAACCGGTGGAGGCTGCACAATAAGCTCAGATTTACACCTGATGTGGAAAAACTACTCAAAAATTGACTCCAGTGGGCGCAGAATTGTGTCAAATATGTTCCCATGTCTATTTCTGAAATCGGCCTACGCATACCAGTGAGAGTCAAAGCAAACAAGGAAGAACACTGTCTGGTTTTTAAAAATACTTTTTGCGCTCTGAGGAGCGACTTTTGGGACAGACAAGAATCAGCCTTTCACTGTGCAGAATGGGAGATGCAGGGAAAAGAGAAATGAGAGGGCTGTTGTTGGCAAAGCTCTATCAAGGAAGAAGGACTCCCTGTTATCTGTGAATGGGGCGTCTTCTTCCGACCAGAATAGATATAGCACGAATTTTTAATTCGTTTTTCTTTGAGAGACAACAATGCTTTATTTGAAAGCTTGATACAATTTGGGGTTTGTGAATGATCCTTTTCTCCTTGTCCGAGCCCAGCTGCCCATATGGGAGACAACGTGTGCAGCAAAGATCACAATGGCACCAAGTGACAGGCAGGACAAAAAGCCCAAGGATGCATCTCCCTGACTCTGAACAGCACCAAGCAACTCTGTCAGTCTCTCTATCTGCACTGTCTGCATCCTGCTGCTCGTTAACATGCACGCCTCTAACACCCAGCAAAAAGCAGGCCTGGCCTTTTGTCTCTGTGTTGTGTCGTGTACTGTATTGTGCAATGATAGAGTCACAAAAGTGCCTGATCAGAGAGGGCAATGAGCCACACTGATGTGATGTTTTTATTTTTCTCCTTCTTCTTCTTTTACGTATTCGAGGTTTTAAATATTGGCCTCTCTTGAAGTAGGCGCAGTGTTATTTGAAAGAAACCAGTTTTAGTTGGAGTTCACTAAAATTCAATCAAGGGTCAAAAAGTAGTCCATCCGTCTGTTTCTCTTATTAAACTCCGTCTCGGATTTCTCCTCAATCGATTCCCCGCGGTAAATGCCGTTTAAGCGATTATTGGCACGCTGTTCAGGACGCTGCGTAATTCTTGCTCATGGAGGAAAAAAACTTCAGCAACGAAAACTATAACAACTTGCTGATTTATTTGACCACAAAGCTCAACCAGTGGCGCAACACAAAACCTTTCTGTCAGGGCCAAATTGAATCAGTGTCGCCCACAAAAGCAGTAGCCCCTTGAGACCCAATTCTGTAAATAATTAGCAAATCTGCCCAATTTGGCTGTTTGTTCAGTGATGATAGGGGCGACTCTAACATCTGCTGTGAGATTTTTGTCCCGGGCCAAACAGAATGCATGGATTTTTCTACTAGGTTATCATATTTACCCAAGATATTGACTGGAGGCTGATAATCCGCAGTGCGCAGCGGATCACTGGGGAGCCATTTGTGTATGTTTTGGTTCCACCTTAAAGATCACAGAGAGAGACGGCGCAGGGAGAGTATTTTTCATGCAGAATATCACTGATTTCACGTTGAATATGACAAACAACTTTATTAGGACGTCAAAACATGTTTTTTATTTTCTAACCGTGCGCATTTTAGCCAAACGCTGGCTTGGGGTTAAACAAAGAAGTCTGGTGTCTCATTGATCACTCCTGCTCTATTTGCAGTTTAGCGCTTAACAAGATAACAAAACATTTATTGCATGAAACGATTTTCCCCCCCTTTCCGAGGTCTACCACTTTACACATATAGGGCTGGGAGTGGTGGGGAATAGTGACAAAAAGGAGAGCTTTTCATTCAAAAGCTTCTCGTGTGGAGAAGCCCTCTTAGAGTAAGTGAGTGGATTTTAGTCCCATTTCACAAGTGACTTTCGGCTCCTTATGTGTGGGGTGTTTGGATTCAGAAAAATATTCTCCGGATTAAATTTGCTTAAAAGGAAAGAGACTGAAGTGCTCTAGAGATTTATGTCCGTTTTGTGCCACAACATCGAGCCTCGTTGGTTTAGCCCTGGATATTGCGATGTGATTATTCGTATGGGACACTTATAGAAAAAGAGTTTGATCTTATTACAAATCTGTCTATAAAATTTGGAATATCTAGCCAACAAGATAAGGCTGTGTCGTTGTTTATAAAATACAGAAAACGGATATTCTCCCCGGTTAAGTGCCTCCCTTATTTTTCAAAATGTAAATATAAATTTAAGATGTAAACATCGGCCGACCCTCAGTCTCCCCCTCTCTCCACCTCGACTTCAGAGATCGCCACAAATATTTTACAGTGAATAAAAACAAAGGGAAAATAGCTGAAAAGTTGCCAGTGTTTATTCATGGCCATAAATATTTTTTCGGTCCATAAAAGAAGCAAGAAATTAAAATTTCTATAATTATAAAGTGGTTCGTACGTGCTGATAATAACACGAAGGGTCAAAAGGAAAAAGAGAGGAAAACATCTCTACAACCAACACACAACATACTTTACAAAAAAATTCACAAGAAGAGCATTGACATTCGGAATAAAATCTATAAGGGAGAGGTTCGGACCCAGTTCTCTTAACGAAAACATGTAAACACGGCGCACACATGAGCCCCGAATAAAAATGGTAGTATATATATGAGTCAAGCTGCAAAAATGAAAAGTCTTTTGTTTTTTGTGTTTTATCTTTTTCTTTGCTCTGTGGTGAAACTCCCTATCGTGCCTCCAAAGCCAAGTCTCTATCTTTTCTCTCACCAAGTCCACTGTTGCGTTTGCACCAAGTGATGTGCTGTGGGGAACTGTGCCGTGGCCGCGGCGCTGTACTGCGCGTTATACTGCATGTGTTGGAGTGACTGGGCACTATAAGCCGAGAAGGGGATCCCGGCCTGAAAAGTGGCCGCCAAGTCCTGAGCTTTAAGAGTGTGACAAGGCTTTCCATCCCTGACTAAGACGGGCACGGCCACCCGCCTGGGAGAAGGGAGATGGGTCACTTCCATACCTTTCTCGGCCCGGGCTCTCTTCATCTTATACCGGTGGTTCTGGAACCAGATCTTCACCTGGGTCGGGGTGAGGCGGATCAGGCTGGCCAGGTGCTCCCTCTCCGGGGCGGACAGGTACCTCTGCTGTCTGAAGCGGCGTTCCAGCTCGTAGGTTTGCGCCTTGGAAAACAACACCCTCCTTTTCCGCTTCTTTCCAGAGTCGCTGCCGCCGCTGCTGGAAGTTTCCTTATCGTTATCCGGCGATTCGTCGTCCGCGGACGGCTCCGGGGACTTCGCCGAGTCCTGTGAGCTGGCGGAGAGGCCGTGCACTGCGGCAAGAAACGGGAGAAACACTGTCAAAATGTTATGTTGTAAAGTTCTCAGAGCGACAGAGGCATTTATCAAATTATCAAGACACACAATAAGCGGGTAAAAGTTTGGATGCTATGATGCGCATTAAGAAAAATAACCTGTTCATGAGTCAGCACTTGCCAAAAAATGGAAAAAGACAACAAATTTACAACATTGATGAGTATCTCCTGCATGAATGATAACACAAATCAGCATTTTAGCTCATTCGAACTCTTGGGTTTGATTTTAAAAGAAAAAAAGCGCCACAATAATAATTCTCAACCCAAATTCGCAGAGGCAGTGCGACTCAGTGAAGCATTAAAAGGTGCATTGTCTGCCTGTAAATCCCCCCACTGACACTCTTAGGATTTTGCACCGTGGTCACACTCCGCATAACTTTAACTCTCCGTTTT